CATCCAGCATCTGCGGTCTTGTCTCCAAAGTATTTAAAACTATAACTAATACAATTCAATTTTAATAAGCATTTCGATTACCTGAAGATGAATGTGGAAAGTAAATTTTAAATGGAGTTTGTTTTTTAGTGAATTAACTCCAAATAGTTTTATTTGGGCAAATTCTTTGATATTGTGAATTTCAAGCAGAAAAATAATCTCAGGCTTTGTTAAAAGGCAGATGACAGGGACCCTACTGCCAGGATTACTCATTCAAAATTTGATGTAAGGCCCAAAATGTTATTGAATTTGCCCCCAGGCTGGGTCCTTTTTCCCTCCAGAATTGCAAGCTCTAGGCCAAAGCCTGGCACCAGTCCAGCAGTAGTCAAAATTGTTTTCTTGGCCAAGTACTAGGAAAAGCGGGAGGCACCACCACAGTTGGCTTCTAAAACAGAACAAAGGCTGATGGGTCTGTTAAGTGTTTGCTCTGTGGAAGATCAGGTCTTAAAGGAAAAAACCAAAAAGGATTATTCATAAAAGGGATGGGCATTTCTTGGAAATGGGCTCCACCTTCCTTTTCACCTTGTATGGGCTGGTTCTGGTTTGGGTCAGAAGCAGGTCAGACCAAAATGGCGCTGTCTGACAGCAGTGTGGACAGCAGTGTCTGGGGGTTTGTATCGGGTCAGCAGTTAGTCTCTGAATCTGGAATCAATTTGTCTGGCTCCATCACGCATCCTATTTCTACAGCACTGACAAGTCCAGCATAGCTTGTCAAGTGGGTCTTTCTTTATCTGAAACAACACTGGTTTTTCTCAGGGATTCAGAGTGTCCATGCCTAGGAACAGAAATAGTAGCAATTCTAACAAGTCGTAGAGCTGATTCTGAAAAAATACTCTTTGGGAACCATTGCTGCCTAGGAATAGGGCCTCTGGCAACTTTTTTAATGCAGCAATTTCCAGAACTTTTGAAGAGTTTAGTTGCTATCCTGTAGCAAGCACAGCCTATCTGAAGAACATGTTAAGATAAGGTAATGCATTTTTTTTTGCTCAAATGCAGCAAAACTCCAGCATAATATGAAAAGTTGTGTCAGAAAAAAAATAAAATTGTTAAAAATAAAGCCTTGCAAAGCCAAAAGGACTAGCTCCTGCTGGACCAGGTGCCACCAAGTGTCATCTCTTTGCTCTGTTATCTGCAGATTCCCGATGTTGTTGGAAAGCTAACAAACCTAGCGGAAGGACAAGGGACAAGAAGTGCCTTTGTCTGTCTTGTGGATTTCAATGTTGTGCAAATAAACTGCTTCCTTCCACAAATATCTTTAAAACATTTTCATTAGGAAGTGTTTTCAAATTTGTATTTTAAGATAGAATACATAAGCAAGTAATTTAAATCAGAAAACCTGATGCTGTAAGGCAAAGTTAGGTTTAGTGAGAACAAGTAGAAAATTTCACAGAAACAATATTTGCATCAATTTATACTGTAATTCAGAAATCTGTTCAGAAAAATCTAGTAGTATATTTCTGAGTAAATACAAAAGTTCTATTCAATTCTTTCTGTTCTTTAGAGTAATGGTAGAAAATGGACAGCACAAATACTGCTGTGTTTTTCTCTTAACACAAAAAATATTAATGTACAGCTTTCTTTAACCTAGTGTGTAGATTTAATTGCAGTGCTTGCAGCAACCAAGTGGGCTTGGGGGGTGTAGTGTGGCACTTGGTCTTTACAAGTTTCACCAGTACAGATTTAGGGGCATTAGCAAAGAACAAAATGACAAGAACAAAAAATGAGTCCCCTAAACAGAGACATTATAGAACCTCCAGTGAGTTTCAGGCCTTTTGTGGAGAGGAAGTTAAGATTTTGTGAAACTGGTTTCTCCAACATTGGCCAAGGCCCGATTTTCAAAGTATGACAGAAAATTTGAGGATTTCTGGGGTTCAGATAAAAAAGTTGGCAGGATCCAGAGTTACAAGAAGTTGGGTGCTGGGTTGTAATCCACTCCTTACTTTGAGGACTGAGGAAGGGAGAAGGAGCCAGTTTCTGGTTATTTCCACCAACTTCTTGTGACCACTCAGAGAGAGAGATGCATCTCCTTAAGAGTGGAAGACTTGAAGACTGACCATTTGGTGTAGAGGAGAAGCTGGCCGCTGCTAGTGGCCAGGCACAGCTGAGGTGGCTCCTTTGGCAGAGCCTGAGTTTCACCAAGGAAAAAGTTTACACTGTTACAGCCTTCATTTCCCGTGTTCCCAGTAGGAAAAGCCAATATAGTATTCTCAGAGGCAGAGACCACGTGTTTACATCTCTAGTGACTGCTTCACCATGCTGTTGCGAGCTGGGGGAACAGTCATTGAGAACCCTGAGAGCGCCTCCTGGCAGCCCCCGGGAAAGCTGTAACAGTGATGACATCATTGGCGGCACCTGGTGTGCCCCACGCAGACCCACAGTGTTTCATACACCTGGGCAGGGAAGCCAAATGTTAGGTGAATTTTCACGGATTAACACTTGCCAGTCACAGCTTTTGCAAACTGCTACTGAATTGCAGCATCACGTATCTTAAATTACAGCCCTTCCACGAGGGCTTTGTTAAAATGAGGTTTTCAGCCCGTCCTTCTCCATCTATTTTTCACTGTGGAGGTACGAAAAACGTAGATGCTTGTGCAGAACCTAAAGGAACAACCGGTGCCACCTACTGAACGTTAGGTGCACTAACACGACTAGTAGGAAGAGGGCGCTGTGGCACCACGTTTACTTGCGGCTGTCCGGGGACCTTCTCTGCGGTTCCCTTAAAGCGTTGTAAATCCAGGGTCCCCTGCCGCTGCATTTCCCTCCTGAAGTAACGCTTGTAACGTCAGTTTGAAGGTGTAACTTGGAACTTCTCCTCTCTGGAACTACAGGGATCTCTAAGAATTATTTTGTCCGTCTCTGTCAGCTCCACTGATACTTTTCTACTTGAGGCTCATTAAGTGATGGTCCCATTCATTTCATGAAGTAGAACCTTAAATAAAAAGCCCCAGTTTCGACGGGGATTCTAAAGCCAGTTGTACGCCTGAGAGTTTGGTATGACCTGGGCGGAGGAATTCTCATTCGCCGGCTCGTCTTGGGGTTCTGAATACATAAAGCTGCTCTTCTGAAATATCTTGCACTTTTTCCTTGGTTAAACTAAACATTGAAGAAATTCCAGGTGTGTTTATTAAGTTCCAAAATGCTATTGCCAAATTCTACTCTATAATTTTACAAGTTATTCAGATTAACATGACAATAAACCAGTGCCAATCCAGATTGTCAAAAATCAACCTTTCACAGATAGGATTTGAACCTCTGAAAAATGCCGGAGTAATGTTACAATCTTTTCAATTCTATACTAATTCAAAATAAAGCCTTGAATGAAATATCCCAGTATTTCCTGGCCACAATATTAAGATTTCTCCCTTATTATACTTGGAAGATGTATCACATTATTTGATGAGAAAAAAATGAACAGTAGAGGAAAAAAGTATGAATTGTTAATTAACTCAAATAGATCTTTATAAGGAAAGTTATGAGATGGTTTTCCAGTGAGAGGAAAGGATGGGTTATGTTTATAAATGAAACATTTTACTCTAAAAAGTTTTCAAAAAGCTAGCTGGATCATCAGACACACATTTAAGTATGGTGCTCTACACATCAAATTTCAGGACCTTAACCCACAGGCTGGGAGGGAGGCTAAAAAGCATCATTTTTGTTTTTTCAGTAGGAGTTGCATTGGGCACGAAGTAGCAACAGCCTGGGAAAGCAGGGATTAATGAGATAAATTTTATTTTGCTTACATTCAACAAAAAAGTCAAAGATTATTTGTTGTCAACCTGGCTGAGGTCCCTCCTATCCATAAGTCTTTTATTCTGAGGTTGCAAAATGACTGCTGATACTTGACCTCTTTGGTATGAATTCCAGGTAGCTATGAAGAAAAAAGTTAATTCCGGGATGCCTCAGTGCATATCTACCAAAATCTCATGGGTGGAGAGGAGTCAGTATTCACCTCACCAAGAAAACTGGCAAAAAAAGCAACTTGTAGTTAGGCACAGTGTCAACTATGACAGTATTAGGTTGTTAATAAAGCAAGAAGTAAGAAATGATTCTCTGTCTGCTTATCGCTAATAAAATTATAGTGACTTGATTTTAATAAACTGCTTATAAAGACTTTAAAAATAAAGTCTTTATTTTTCTATGGCCGAAGAACAATGAAGACATAATCCCAAACAAGGAAATTAAGTGACACTGTGGCTGTAACAACATTAAAATTTATTTTGAGGACTATTGTTTTGAAGCTTGGGAAACAGGCTCTTATGTAAACCTCATTCCCACAAGCCTGCAGCTTTCTTTCTGCTGCACTGCAAAAGCAGGCTCCGCTTTCTAAGGCTTTCCGAGGAGCGTAGCAGGGGACCAGGGAAGGCCTGGGCATTTGCAGCTCGCTCTACTGCAGCAAATCAAGGCCGCGATGAAAGAAGCTTTGACAGATTTTCTTCCATTGCCAAGATTTGAAAATTTGTTTCTTAAGAGTTGCAAACAGCGAATGTTGCCTCCCTTGCAGGTATCAATCAACAAGTTCAAACAGTTGCTAGACTTGTGCATTCAACAATAAAACACTATGTCATTATTACGTGATAACCCAAGGAAGATGCTACCCATTACTACTGATAACCAAGGAACACAAAGAAATGATAGGCAGAAACAGAAAAGAAAAACATTTTGTAAAAATGGTAAAACATTACAACTACCTCCCTCATTACAGAATGAGACAAAGACTGAAGAAATTGAAATAACTAAATTGCATACTTCTGGAGAATAAGAAATTATATTTGTTTTAATGCAAGTCTGAGGGTTATAACTTCTTATCTTTTCAACCATAAAGATTTATATAAACATTACAGAGTCCTCTAAACATGCAAAACCACAATGCCTTCCATTCATAGTCTATGTTTGGGAAGTAAAATCCAGGTAAAAATTTCTAGTTACCAATTCTGTGTTGTATGACTCCTTTCTGATTGCAGTGGGAAAAACTACAGATGACTACGAGTGAAAGGAGGAAAATATTCTGCTCTGTCACTTTCCACGTCATCGCCATCACCTGTGTGGTTTGGTCTTTGTATGTGTTGATAGATCGGACAGCAGAGGAAATCAAGCAAGGCAATGACAATGGTGAGGACATGTCGTCTTTCTCGTTTCCTCTTTTGGGTTGTATTGAGGCAGACAGGGAAGCTACTTCCACAGTTTGAGTTCATGCATGTGACACCCGCACCACAGCTAGGGCTTGCATGGAGAATTTCCCACTCGTGTTCTTGATTAACCCTGAGTGTCGCAGAGATCCATGCCAAGAGGTGAGATGTATGAAGTCCATCTTCAGTTTCACAGAGAGAACCACTGAGATGGCCTCCACCACCACCTCAGGCTTCTCAGGGGCTGAGAAAGGACAGGTTCTGCCTGATATAAGCAGGCAGTTGTGACAATGGAAGATTTTAAAATTTTATTACATTGCTGCTTTTTTGTGGGGGGAGTGCAGCTCAGCCCACCCTAAGGGCAGGGCTGTTGCAGCATGTGGTGCCAGGGATCAATCCGTGGTCCCCTAAGCCTACCTAAGCTTGCATAAGCAGGTGGTTTAGACCGCTAAGCTATCTCACCAACCCCACTTGCTGCTCTTTGAAGATGGATGAAGATGTTATACTAGCAGAGCCCATGGTATAGCTTCTTAGTTCACAAAATTTAATACACTGGATTAGCACTTGGGTTAAAATTTAAGCCATGCCTGGTTTGCTTGTAAAGGGTGCTGTTAAGTCTGCAAAGAAAGCTGTGTCAAAATATATTCTTCCATTTAAAATAGGTAGAATGTTTAAAACAGAAGCAAAAATAGGAAGCACAGTGGCTGTCAAATGTTGCCAATACTCATTTCTGAAGGTGCCCAGTTCCCTTCCCAGCAGGCACTACGAGCTCTAGCCAGTAGCCTAACTCACAGCTGCTAAAGCAGTGGTACTATGTCCACACACTGCAGAATTTGAAAGAGAAAATTTCTCACATGGTAACATTGTAAGTTGGTAGTGTCATCAAAAGCATTTATAGGACCCATCTGCCCCCCAAAAAGAAAAATAAAAGCAGAAAAAGATGAGATAAAATGAGGAGGAAAAAGAAAGACAGAATTTAGAAAGAGAAAGCTTTGTTGCCTCTGTGTGTGCACGGGTTCCTCTGCAGAAAGGAGGTTGGGCCCTCATTTCTTGAGCCCTCCTTGCCCTGAGCATCCCAGATGCAGAAGGGCCGAGGGATTGTGTGGTCCACCACAGGCATGTGGTTACAGTTACTGTGGTTTAAGGAAGCAGGGAGAGAGAGGAGCTGGTCACAGAGTTGCAGGTCTTGTCCTTTTCTGAAAGAATAAAACCACTGCCCAGTCTAAACTTGGCAGGGTGGGGGTTTGTTTTGCTTTCCTTTTGGTTTATTCAATATTAACTCATTTGTACACCGTATCATTTATATCAAACTACATGATTTGACACTATGTTATATACTGTTCCTGAAATTCTTGAATTTAAAATGTCATATTATGTCTCAATTAAGCACATTCCCTGAGGGTTTTGATTTTTGACCTTTGTTCATTCTTGCTTTGGTGATTGTTGGTAAATTCTAACTCCATGTTTCTTCTAGATGTAGGGAAAGGTGCTGGCCCAAGACAGGCAGCACAATGTGTTCCATAAACGCTGTGCCCCGCGTGCACTCAGAGGCAGGTGCTCCCTACCTCATGCCACGCAGGGCACTGCTAGGGCTCGGCATTTCCCTAGCAGCCCAGAGCAGACCAACGGCCGCTTCATACCTTGGGATGACTCATGTAGAACTCAACATCTGAGAACCATGATTTAACCCAGAGGTGATGTAGCCACTTCCCTCTCCCAGTGTTCACCTGACCACGCCGGGCTGCAGTACCTTGCAGAGCACCCCTCTTCTGGAGCTACAGGAGAGGAGAAAGAAGTGAAGGTCACCTCTGTCAGAAACAGCAACAGAAACAGCCCGTCTCCTCCACACACAGACCCTCACAGGACACTCCTGAGAAAACCCCTTCTACATGCTTAGTGGTACTTCTAAGACTTATGAGGTGCGATCATTTATCCTACAGTGATCACAGCTTTCTCAACTTCAGTGACACAGATCTCCCCAGAACCCTCAAATTTCCTGGCCTTCCATTTTTCAGCTTCTCTGCTGATTCCTGTGTGACACCAGTCCTTAGCTGCCCAACCTGTGTGACTAGCCTCCCACATTTGCCTCCAGCTCGAAGTGCACTCCAGCCCAAGCAGCTGCCTGCCTCTCTAATGCCTATGTGTAGGGGCCCCCAACCTCAGTGTGTCAACTCCTAGCTGACCAGCCTCCCACTCCCAACTCTCTGGGAGGCCATCAGTAACATCCAGCAGTCCAATCACTGCCAGCCCCCATTCCCCATCTCCTCTCCTCCCCTCAATCACCAAATCCTCTTTGCTCCTCTCATTTGCTCCTGGGGTCTGCCCATTCAGCTCCTTCCCAGCTGCCAAGATCCATTTGGAAACTATCATTTTGTTAAAATTACAAACTGCAAAAGCTTCTTACTCAAACTTTCTTCAGTTTCATCCAACTTCAATCTATGCTTAGTAATGTAATCACACTAAGATTACAGTCATGGGGCTGGTGAGATGGCTCAGTGGTCTAAAGCACCTACTTAGAACAAGCTTAGCAAAGCTCAGGGACTGCGGTTCAATCCCCCAGCACCACATGCCAGCCAGCCCCGCCCCCTGGTGGGCTGAGCTGGCCACACACACACACACATAAATAAATAAAAATTAAAAAAAAAAAAAAAAGATTACAGTCATGCATGTGAGCAAATTCTATTTCCATTTAACCAACACCCTCAGGTTATAACCCAAACTCTTTGGAGGGGCATCGCTGCCCCCAGAACCTAGCTGTCAGCGGGTAGTCTCAACCCCCACTGTGCTCTTCTCAAATCTACTTCAAGGGCCCTGCTCAGCTTTCGCTTTATGGAAAGCACTGCCTTGCGTCTTCTCTTGCCTTCTGTCTTCTCACCAGCAGCATAGATACAAACACCCAACTGTTCTCACGTCCTTCCCAGTTCTGACTCAGCGTTGGTAGGCAGCATCACCCACGCTGGGAACCCTACTTCAGTTCCACAGTCCAGGATCATTACTACTACCACAGAAGTTCTCTATGATCATCGCCCAACTGGAAACCTTAACATTCCAGGCATTTGTTAGAACTGCACATTCTAATCTCCAGGTCCCCTAGACCTACATATCAAGAAGCCCAAGGTGCAGAACAGCATTTCTGGGCTTGAAAAATCTAGATGTGGCTCTGGTGCCCGCCAAGTGTTGAGAGCCACTGTCTTCCCATGTGTCCCCATAGCATTCTGAATCCTCCCCTGGGAGCTCTCCACCTTGCTTGTGTGCTAGTATTGCCTGCATATTAGTTCTGCTTTCAGAGTTTCTATGACACTACAAAGCCTGAGTTTTACCTCCAGAAATTCAGACTTCATTGACCTGAAGTGATGAAGTGCATCACAGGCACAGAAAACCTCAGCCCTGCCATAAGACTCTACGCTGATGCCCTTGCTCCCTGAATTCTATCTCCCCTCACTTGCTCACAGCAGGTTGGGCTGGGTCTGTCCCAATCCCACCATGTCTCTGGTACCGACTGTGTCTGAGAGCTGCCAAGGGGCTTAGGCAAGCTCATAGAAGAAATGGTGAAGTATGACTACTATGATTTTTCACCTTTTATGTTCCTTTAGACCTTTATTTCACATACTTGTTTCATTTCCAGTTCTTTGTGGCTACAGATTTCAGACCTAGTCTCCCAGTTGACTGTCCTTCAGGGCAGTCAGAGCTCCCCCAAAAAACTGAGCTAATAGCCAAAGGTCAGTTTTTATATTATAAATTATTTTCACTTTCCTAAAGGCAAATGAAAATGACATCTATTTTCTTTTTGTTGTTGTTGTTGTTACGCAATGCCGCAAATCAAACTCAGGACCTTGTGCTTGATAGGCAGGCACTTATGCCACTGAGCTATATCCCTGACACTAAATGACATCATTTTTATCTTTGGTGTTCAGAGTTGTTTAATTAGGAAGCAAGAGATGTGTCAAGAAGTGGCGTCCATGGTTATTCCTGCAAGAGTGCAGATCAGCGGAACAGTCCCCAGAATGCATACGGAAGCCACAGTAGCTCTTATTGAAGGTTTCATCTATATTTTAAAAATAATTTTATTGAGAAACAGATACCAATGAGACAGTTTCAAAACTGATTACTAGCACAGTTTCAATAATTAATACATTGCATATTGTTGTCTTAGCGGTTATTCATTGTACAAGATGCAGACATGATACCCTGTCCACAAACACTATTAGAACAAATCTCTCTATTCATTGAATTAAGAGAATGCAGCTGTATATCTATCCTAACTACTTTGAATATACAGATACAAAAAGATCACTCATTTGTATCCCCCTTTTTGTTTAGTTTTGTCAGATTGTCATTTAAATATTGTAGGTGCATGAATTCAGCAAAATATTCCAATATAGTCCAGTAGTCTATAATACTAGTGAGTTTTCCATAAGACTGGCAAATGTCAGAAGTTGACTTGAGCCTTTTACAGCTCAACATATTAATATGGTCATCTATATTTATGCTCAAATTGTATTTGAAATATTACTTGTCAATATAGGCAGAGGCAGGGATGTGGGCATCTGTCTGAGTAACTATTTTAACCCTTCCTGGCATTGGGACTGAGAGTGTTGATCCATAATATACGTTTAAGATTATCAGGGAAAACACCATAAGTTACAAGCTGCATATTTCAAATCTATCTTGAAAACCTTCAGAAATATTTGAAGAGGAACAAATTGTCCTTTTCAACCAGAATTGAGTTTGAATATAAAACAGTAAAACCTTTTGAACTATAATGACAATGCTGGAAGAAAAAAAATCTTTGTATGCTTTAAAATATGCAAGATTAAATATGCACGATGCTCAGACAGCCCTGTCACTCCAGTCTCTTTCTCTTTCCTGGTGATAAAATAAATGAAATGAAGTATATGGCATTTGAATTTTTAACACTCTAAATTACACTTGTTGCTAATTTGAATTTGCACAATTTTTCCTCCTGCTCTATCTTTACGATTC